ACACTTTTCAGAGGGGAACAGAACAGAAGGGGCTCTGATTCCAATACAGCCAGGTGTCAGAGAGACTGAGCACTTACGTCAGGCCACTTACTCCTCAGCACTCCGTCCCAGCTCTTCCTGAATCCTGAGCCCACAGAGTCTCAGGGCTGTCCTGGATCCTGGGGGTGTGTTGAGCCATCCTCCCACGAAATTCAGAGGACCATAGAACCCACAGTGCACTTCATATGCTGCTGTGTGAATGTTTCCGGTGGAGGGGAGCTCATTCCCCTTGGCCCTAAGATGAAGAAATGTGGCACTGCCAAAAATGTAACTAAGATAAGAGTCTGTGTAGCTGCACTGTGGACATCTGTGGAGCATTCTAATTGCTACAAAGGCCTTCCTGAAAACTTTCTCTAAGTCATCATCTGTTTCCACATTCTGTTTCTGGGACACCAAGCCTCCTGTCTCCCTCCACAGAACTGTGCCAAGTAGCTGACGATCTGCTGTATGGAACAGGTCCATATGGCAGAAAGGGTGTCGGTGGCTCCGCATTGCAAGACCTCAGGAGAGGAAGCAGAGGCACACCTGAGAGTGGCCTGCTTCTCACCTCAGCTGGCCCCGTCAGTGCAGTTGCAGTTCTACCTCGAGTCACTAGGTGCCACTAGCGCTGCACCTGGCAGATACTACTTGTGGGAGTGCTGAGCATGAGGTCCCTTTGAAAAGGAGAGCAAAGTGCACTTTGAACACCAAGTTTCATTTAAATTGTTGTACTATCACATTGATGAATAGTGTACAAACACCAACAGTAATGTAACACCTTGTGCTTATCTCTAGACAGTAAAAATAAAAACAGAGCAATAGAAGTTATAAACATCAGAGGGTGAGTGAAGTTTCTCTGCTGTTAAGTTGGCAACTAGAGTTGAACAGGACTGATGTGTAGTCACGTTTCTTGATTCATTGGTTTGGGACTTAGTTTTATTTACTGTACACACAATAGCTCATCATCTGATTCCTATGTATAAATTTGTGCTTAAAAATTTTTTACCCAAGGCCGTGGATTTAGCTCAGTGTCACAGCTCCTGCCTGGCAAGCATGTGGTCCTGAATTTGATTCCCACTATCCAAAAATACAAAGAAAGTTTTTCACCATTCACCCAACCTTCAGTGAACCATTACTAAAGAAAGTACTCCCTGAATTCCAACTCACTCGTAACCTGTCTTACAAAATCCCTTGTAGTACTGACTTATTACAATGTGTGTTGTCTTTGACATATTTTCCTTAAAAAGTGTTATATATAAATACAAATGATCACAAGAACTACTAATATTTTCCATGTGTCTTCAGCCCATGAAACCCAGTCAGATTCTGGGGAGCAGAAACTGTCAGGTGGCCTTCATCCCCCCACTATGCACCCGGGGCAACCTGAGCCTAGGTGTGCAGCTTCATCTGCCCTGCCCTGAGGGCCTGGTCACCTTGAGGCCTCAGCACAGCCACTGTCGGTCTCTGTGAGAGATGACTGATCCCAGAACCATGTGCTGAGGCTGGTGTTCATCTGT